CATGGACAAAATTTACTTCTTCAGTGGACTTTTTCGACGTGAATTCAGATTAATCGGATCAGCGCATTTATTTATTTAATCGCCGTATTTTGTTATTCAATGCAAATTCAATTTAGTCGGATCAAATTTCATATGTCTAAAGCAAGTAGGAGGCAATACTAGTAGGCAAAAGCAAAGAGCATGGAGTGTGGGGGATGGAAGTATTGGATTGCTTTATGGGATGGTTAGGGGTTAGGCATCACTAGCACCACAACCAAAAGTCTGTGGATTAGGTTCTTCTATACTCTGTGTGTTTTTTCTTGATTACTCAACTGGAATAATAATAATAATAACAATAATAATAATAATAAAAATAATAAAAAAGGCTGAGAAAAATAAGAGGGGGAGCTCCGTCAGTGTTCTGTTTCATTAAATGACAAAGAATAAATGGATAGGAAAGATGGGTTGGTAACTGCCAAAACCATGTGTATACACACCTGTATTATATACAGTTTTCTTGTCCATGTTTCCTTCACTTAAAACCTACTTATCTTTAACTTACTTAACTTTGTTTCTTCTTTCTACTATATATTACTATGGTATAGCTAGATAAGATTCGTCTCTTCTACGTACGGTTCACTTGTCACATCAGAGTTGAACTAAACTCACACTACTCATATCCATATTGTGTTGATCTCAACTGACCAGCAAGAGAGCCTCAGTTCGACCGAACTCGTTATTTTCAACTCGAACTATATGTTTTGCAATTAATGAAAAAGTTTACATATAATAAGATCACGCACATTCTGAATCGCTATACCGGAGTTAAGATATTTTGTTATTTTGTGATACCTAACAGTAGAGCTAGTAGCTATCAGCCCACCAATCACACCTAATTGTTAAACTGATCACATCCCTTACTTTTCAAGTTTCTTAACTAACTAAAAACCTTTATTTCTGCGATGAGCTTTTACCATTATATACCAGAAATAGGCACTGCAAATCACACGTCACAAGCGGTTGGGTATGAGGTCTAAAGTTTAGGTTCCACTCCTTCAATATCTAGAATCTGCTTTTTCACTAAGGCTTCTCTTTGATATTGCGTGGAAATAGGACTTCCGTTTTAAGCTATCTCACTTTCACACTTTATAACATGGGTTCTTAGTATATAAACTAATATACAAATCAAAATAATCGGAACATAATTTTCATGCACATGCTTATAATACTTGTATAGCACGTTTTGCTAGTGATAATCTAAAATTACACCAGGCGGATTTAGAATTTTGGAATAGTGAATTTGTCAAGAATGTCGTGAACGTACTTCTTGTTGAATTTTCATTTCGAGGGACGTCAGTATAAAACTTGAAAATAGTACAGGCTAACCAATTTTCGAATTGGTAATTATAAATAGCTAGCGTTTGCAAAGTCACTGAAAAATAGTCACTATTTTGCTGAAACACGGAAAGTTCCAGCATAATATGCTCGATTATGGAGCTCCTTAGTATAAACTTCTAACATATTATATTGGAACTCCAGCACAGGGAAAGTTCCAGCATAATATGCTGAATTATGGAGCTTTTGCGCATAAACTTCCAGAATATTATGTTGGAACTCCAGCACATTATGAAATTCTATCACATTATGTTGGAATTTCATATGTAAAAAATTCGAATTTCGCCATATTATGCTGGAATTTTTTCGGATTTTTAAGAGTGTTTTTGTTCAGATTTTATCTCACATAAAAAAGTGGCTAAATTTCGACTACTTTTGAAATTGTGGCTATGTTTCAATTACTAATTGTAAATCTGGCTATTTCTAATTTGTTCCTGTCTAAAACTCGCATTTTTAGTAGTGTCTTCAAGGTGGTGTTTGCAGGAGTTGGTGTAATTAAGTCACTTAAATCCTGCTTCTAACTTGTTTGTTATGTGCACGTTTTGGTGATTATTTGTAGGCTTAGCATGTGGGTACGTTGTTATATTGCTTGACATGTCCAAATACAACATGTGTGTATGTGTGGGGAAGAGAGTGGTAATGACAAATATGAGAGGAATTCATTTAGATCTGCACATGTAGTGGGGGACTACTTTGTATCAATTTATTGCCTAATGTTCTCTTGCTAGTATTAATTCAATTCAATTATCAAAACAAGAAGAAAAAAAATAGTTTTTATTAAATAAAAAAAAAAAGGAGACGCTCCATTGATTCTTCTTATAGGCCAGTGATCAAGTCAAGCAATAAACAAACAAGGGGAACCAAAGAATATAAATCATTGTGTTGCACTATGAAGAAATAATATTCTAAAGTCAATGAAGCTTCGTACCTATCTTTTTAATATATAAATAACTACAGTTCAAACACGTAAACTATCTAACGTTGAAGACTAAGTCTAATTGACTGATACGTTTACTCTAAAGTAGTAATAGTTAACCCTTTAGTTGTATATAACTTAACTGATGAGAAAGTCGTGAAAGTTGCTGTTAACTGAACTTAAAGTGAATTTCGTAATTTAATAACTTCACACTAGTGATATTAAAGTTGGGATCATGCGTATGATTGCATCCCACCACCAAGTTCCACCGCATTTAATAACTTTAATATAAATTTTATATTTGTATTAAAATTAGAATTCATAAATTTAAAATTCTAACTCGGCTCTGTCCGTTATATATATATATATATATATATATATAGGGTTCCAGAATTTCACACTAGTATTATTATTTCGAGACAATAAGTGTAAATTTAGTACGTATAATTTAACCTCTAATTCATGTGTTTTTATATTATTATTTTTTTGTGTGTATAATACAGTTTAATTTTTCACAACTAATATAAATCACAAGAAGAGACAATGAAGCGGCATGATTGCCTTGGCATGTGGGGAAATTGAGTTCATTGGGAGCATCATGTGGACAACTCAGCCAAAAAGATATTGATGAGGTGGCATGCTTCTCAACGCGCCACCTGGTTGGTTTTCTTAAATTCTCCGACTCCCACAATTGCACTGAAAAAACCATGTCCAGGACTTTCATTAATTGTTTCTTAGTTTTCTTTTTCCCTGTTGTTTGCACCTAGTTTTCTGAAAAGGTTTGGGTTTTATATATAAATTTTTACATTATCAAATTACATTAAAGGTAAGCGAGTATCTATTAACAAGGGAATCAAATTCTGTGGCGGATGTAGGGTATAGTTACTGGGTTTTCGGAACCCGATAACTTTTGCGGAGATCATGTATTTTTATTTAAAAATTCATTAAATATCTATAAATATATAACTGTGAATCTAGTTATTATTGTATATTAATTTGAGATTACAATAGTAATCCATAAACTTCAAATCCTGGATCCGCCTCTGGTCAATCAATATATTACGAAATAAGGCGAGTAATCTTTTATAGCAGGTTTATTACACGGATTGTGTAAAATATATTTACTACCAGAGAATACAAGTTGAAATCCTTTTGTAAAAACAATACTTATGATTTTTCAGTAGCTAAGAGCATAGTGGAAGTGAGCATTTAGTCCAAATTCTTATTAAGAAATTCATCAAATATGTACAAAAATTACGTTCAAAACCCGCTACAAACAATTAATATGGCTATCGTAAAATTTAAAATCTAGCTAGAAAGTTCAAATTGCGGCTCTGTCCTGCTTCACACCAACGTTGTTTAACAAGCCATGAGCCTGTTGCTAGTTTTGGAATAAATAACTCCCAGTAATCTCTTTTTTTAATTTCATTTACTTGACTACAAATTTTTCAACTATATTTATTATAAAATTTAAATCTAAAAGTTTGAAGAATTTATGTTCACACCAAAACTAAAATTATTTGATTGTGAAAAGTGTTTATCAGAAATGAGTTTAAGTTCTCGCACACCATCAATTGAATTGACATGCACCAAAAGATAACTCTTCCTACCAATAACATGACAACCGAAAACATTGAGTAATAACATGCTATAATCAATTAAATTGCAGGGTAAAAAACATAATCACTATATATAACCTTAAATAAATCAAGAAAAAACTGATTGCCAAGGAATTAAGTACTGTTTGTCGGATCTTTTGTTTGTACACATATGCTCCCCTCATGTTCTATGGCTGATGAGAAAAGAGTATCCATCCCAAAGAAAACAAGTATACCTACTGCTTTGAACTAACCTCACTGGTTGCAGTTGTTAATATGAAATAGTAGTACTAGTTTACTATTAATCACAACTTTATGAGGATTAGTTCGCAAAAGTTTGTTCTTTTCAGCAAAAGGGTGGCAAACCAATCAGATATTTCAGATAAGAACTAGGTGATCTTTCAAATGCCAAAACACTTGTTTTTTGGCATTTCTTTAAGTCTTTGAATATTCAGTTTAGTTGCCTCTTTGTATTGGGGCCCAAATGATGACCAAACAGAAAAAAGAATTTTAGAGGATTAACATGGGCAAAAGCGAACCTCAGAATTATTCTTGTTATCCTATCACAACTTTTCAGGCTATGGTTCTTCCAACTTGACAATGGATAACGCCAGTGCAATTTTCATCACCAAGGAACAAAATGGTCTAGAGTTAGTTTCTAGGACTCTTTAAAAATGTTGTCGGGTGCGTGTTAGATCCTCCACAATGCATTTTTAGAGGACCTGATATGGGTGCGATAATATTTTGAAACGTCCAAGTAACATAGGTAAAAGTTCATATTACTCTGCACTTTCAAGTTTCAACTCGCTAGTTATAAACTTGACTTATAACACCATGCATGGACATATAGGAATAGAAAAACTCGTTCCCATAACATGAAGCAGCTCAAGAAATAAAAAATAGGATATTATTCTACGTAGAAAATTTTATGCAAATTCAGAACTAGAGTTTATGCAAATTCAGAACTAGAGTTGATGGTTTTGAATGATTATATGATTTTATTATATGCAAAAAATTTAAGACTTTTTTGCTTGGGTAACGAGTTCAGTTGAATACACTTACACGCCGTACGCGAAAGGTCTTGATATAATAATTACCTTGGAAACAAATGATTGAAAAGAAACAACAGGAAAAGAAGAGATAGATACAAGATTTGATCATGAGAGTTTATAACAACCAACGCAATGAAGACCCACAATGACAAATGAAATAAAAAGGCATAGGATGAGAAATCTGATGTTACACGTCAGGATAAATTATCTCAAAAGAAGAAAATTAATTTACAAAATTTGGGGTCCATATGTGGAGTCTGAATCTGATGTTCACATTGTTTATAGCAATCCTCCCTACCTGAAATGGAATTAAAAGAAAAGAAAACAGCAGTTCTGGATAAGAAATCTACATCAAGTTTATTGACTATGTATTATCTTTACAACTCAAAAGTTGCATTTTATTGATATTATTATAAGGAAGCACCTAGTTGCATGCAAGAAAATAACATATTCATGCATATCAACTACGAGGAATAACATCCCCAAACAAAATCCCTGTCACAAACCTAATCAACCAAGTCATCCAAACTCAATGCGATCACGGTTGGGACAGCACGAGGAAAGAGTAAAACACGAGCAGGTCATGTTATTCGTATTAGAACACATGAAGTTGATTTTTGTTTTGAAGACAGTTGCATATAATTTAGAGAATTTGAGCTCTACCATAAAAAAGGTAGAAATTCAAAAGGGTTTGACTTATCTGCCCTCACGAGTCGTAGCCTCATAGGAGAAAAGAAAGGGTGGAGAGGACCACCAACAAGGGTTGTGTCCTTAATCAGTGGCCTCGGATTCGAGCCTTGGGTATGGAGTCGCGCTTTGTTAGGGTTCAAGTTTTGGATATGGAGTCACCTTCTATACGGAACGTTTTACCCCCTAAGGTGGGACTTCCAGCGCGAATCCGAATTTAGTCGAGCCACAATGCAAGGGTGGGAAACCAAAAAAAAAAAGGTGGAGAGGACCATAAAATGTTGGCTCTTTCCCGTATAAATAAATGTTCTAGTTTACCTTAGTAGAAAATTATAAGTCTACCTCAGATTAACAAAGAAATTGCAAGATAGACAAAGCAATTCTGAATCACGAGACACAGCCCAAGCCTGAAATACAGATCTCCTTTCTTATATATTTCTTATACTTGTCATTACTTTAGAAACTTACGTTTGTGAACTGAAGCCTAAAACTTTGGGGCAACGTAGTTAGTGCTCTGTAAATGTGTGGTTTGAATAACAAGCATTTAATGTAGCACCTACGCCATTCACATTGCTTGAATAATAGCCATTGGAATCAACAAATGACTGTACCTTGACCGAGAGAGCCGATACAGCAAATTCCTAACTTGGCATCAACTGCACCAGAAAACCCCTATGCTTAATTGGCGAACACAGTCAACCTTACTCGAGCTGTAACATCTGGATGCAGCTTCAATTCAGCAACATATTCTCCAGTTTCTCGAATCTCAGGCAGAGAGACAATTTTCTTGTCCACCTCCCTACAAGTAGATTGCGTGTGAATATAGATTAAAGTTAAAGTAGGAACTAAGTTAATACATTTGATCTACCTTTAAGACTTTACGAGCCCATTTTGGTTTATCTCATTAAAAGTAGCTTATAAGCATCAAATGCCGAAACACCAATTTTATAAATAAGCAGTTACGTGTTTGAAAAGAAGTGCCGAAACTAATACTCCCTCCGTTTCAATTTAGATGAGATAGATTGACTCGACACGGAGTTTAAGAAAAAAGAAGAAGACTTTTGAAACTTGTGGTCTTAAAAGCTTAAGGGGTAAAAGTTTTGTGGGGCCATGACATTTGTGAGGTAAAATGAAAAAGTTGAATTTTTTCCAAATTTAGAAATGTGACATTTATTCTGGAACAGACTAAAAAGGAAAGTACCCCCGTCTAATTTGAAACAAAGGGAGTAATAAGTAGTTGGTCTGTCGGGTAAACAATTGCTAATAAGCAGTTGGTATGTCACTTCTCTTCCTACAAGAGAACAGATTCTCTATCCCTTCTCTTTTCTTTTTTGGGACAGAGGGGTAGAAGAAAGTGAATATGCTATCGTACAAACAGGCATCATATTGCTCAAAAGCCAAAAGTGTTTGCCTTAGAAATGGATGAACAATGGAATCAGCATATTCCATTGTCCTAGACGACTAATGTTGACGAGTAGGTAGCACCAGATCTTAGGTTGCATTGAAAGAAAATAAGCATTGTTTGAAAAATATCAGATGACAATTAAGTCTCTTTACCCAAAATACTTGAATGACTTTATAAACCAGATGAATCAGACAACATGAACTTAAAAGTGGTGAATAGTTCGCATACTTCTACATCCTCTGGGAGAAAAGATAGGAAATTAGTACCTCTGTAGCTGTGCTTTTATAATATCAACAAGATCCTGAGCAGTGACACTGCAATAGAGATGATGTCAAAAGGTCGACTAAATAATCACAAAGTTGCTAATCACAATTTAGTATCTCAACTGACCTTCCAAAAATTTGCTTTCCTTTCCCACCCTTGCGCTTCACCTTGAAGGCTCCAACAGTTTCAAAAATTCGAGCAAGCTGTAGTGCCTCTTCTTTCACCTTAATTCAAGATCAAAAACTTTAACTAAAACCATATTTGTTACCGAACCATTTATTGTGGCGTAGCCGACTCTTTTAGTGACTTGAAAATTAAAAACATTTGTTTTTCAACTTTCAACAGATTGGATCAATGAGAAATCTAATTACCCGTTGTTTCTCAGCCTCAATTCTCTCATCTTCCATCTTCATTTCCCTGAGAATAAAAGTACGTAATGTTATAAAACAAAAAATTGATCCATGAAGTTAATAGGTAAATCTCTCACTAAAGGCAAAGCACGCTAATAGCTATCAAACATTTCAATTGAATTGCTACCATCTCTAAAGAAGCCTTCACATATGTTTTTGTTCTTAAGTATGTCATTGCAAATCCTGCTTGGTTGAAGAGCCTATCAGAGGGAAGTTCAGTGCACACGTGTACTTGGGAGCATATACAGGAAGGATGTGTGTTAATACAGTGAAAAGGAAAATTAGAATGGTAGATAACCTAAAATATGATCGTAATATCAAGAAGCGACTTTTTTCTAGCTTTATTACTCTTTAAGGCATCGCCAGATATCATGGAAGGGAAAAAAAAGCCAATCACATATAAGAATGAAATAGATCGTGAAAATATTACTGACTATCAATTTTGGATAAGAATTTTACAAGATTATCACACCATATGTCTAACACAGCCCAAACCTAAAGATAAAGTAACTTAGTAGAAAAATATCCAGTGCTCTATGTTTAATCGACTATCTGTACTTACGCAATGTGGGAAAAAAATACTAAAGATGAATCCTTTATCAATGTTATATTTCGCTAAAAGAAGTGAACTTACTTAAAACCGATGATCATTGATCATAACAGGTAAAATCAATGAGCAAAAAAGTTACGCGGAGCTTGTATACTGACCAAGAGTTCTAACACCAATGTTGCATATTTCTGCTCAAGAAATATCAACAGCGATCAAGCATCATTATGGTACAACTTTTGCACACGAAGATGTATATCTATGGGCATATTCACTTTTCAGCTATTTATTACTTATTAGTAATTTAAAGAATCCCATAGAGTATGCATACCTATGTTAATTACATTCGACACTGGTCTATCAGCGTAGATGAGTGATTAGACAACACGGACAATAGTGATAACATACTTCAACTCTTAACCAAACAAGCAAGTGCTGTGTGTGGCATATTGAATAGTCGAATCAAAGATTCCTGACAACTATTACAAGGCCCCGAAAATAAGATAATGGACAGAAGAACCACAGTCTTGAGTACAATAATATGGTTCAGTTGGTAATTTAAACTAAACAGGATGGTTGGTAATGTGATTATTCAACACTTAAAATCATGCATTAACACTTACTAGTCAATCTAATACAATCAGAAAATGGATCAAATTAACAAGCTTTAACTCAACAAAATGTAGATAATGAAAGAAGAATCTAGAGCAAAAAAAGTATATGACAAAATTTAAAGTTCCAAATAGAATTTAACAAATTACTTGAGAAGTGTAGGTGTGACAATTTGAGCCATGCCCAATGGTAGCAGATAATTCCTAAAAAATCCAGCTTTAACATCCAAAAGCTCTCCCTTTTTCCCCAACTGTGTAATATCCTCTTTCAGTATTATCTGCCCCATAAAATAAAATAAAAACCATTGAGCTCTAAGACAGAAATAAAAATAAATAAGATTCTAAAGATAATAATTTGAAACATTATCACATTTTGAAGAATGAGTTTACCTTTCGTATTTTCTTGGCTTTTTTTTGAGCCACAATTGTTAAAATTGAGGTCCTCTCTGATAATTTGGGTGTTTCAAAATTGGTGCTTTTGGCTAAGCTATAATTGTGGAGCAAACAAGTTGTTGCTGTGGACGCCATTTGCTACTAACCTTTTTTGTTTCTCTTTGCTCAGTTTCTGTATTCACAGTCTATCGTTATCTTATCTGTAATGTCTCTCTGAAGAAGATAATGGCTTTCTTACCGGGCCCCAATTGGGCCAAAAGTTTACTGGGCCAATTCTTGGTAGGCGGCCTGCTTTTGGTCCAGTAATCACCAATTGGGCCATATTTATAGGTCCATAAGACGTCCTCAGGTATTCGGGAGATTTGCATAAATGAATCATTTATGTGAAAATAGCACGGGCTAATCAATTTTCGAACCGATAATTGAAAAATAGTCAGCATTTGCAAAGTCATAGAAAAATAGCCACTATTTTGCTGCAACACGGAAAGTTCTAGCATAATATACTGGAGATTAGTGCACCTGCGTATGAACTTCCAGCATATTATGCTGGAACTCCAACACACGGAACGTTTCAGTATAATATACTGAAGATTGGAGCATATATGTATGAACTTGCACCATATTATGCTGGACCAGTATATTATGTTGGAACTCCAGTATATTATGCTGGAAGTTCACATGTAAAAAATTCAAACTCCAGTATATTATGCTGGAATATTTTTCGGATTTTGAACAGTATTTTCGTTCAAATTTATCTTTACATAAATAGTGGCTAAACTTCCATTACTTTTAAAACTGTGGCTATTTTTCAATTACCACTTGTAAATCTGGCTATTTTTGAATTTCACCCCTCATTTATACGTGTTGTTTCAATTTTGCTCTGTTTTAAGGAATTTGTGGAAAAATAACCTCGCGTGTCATAATTTTTTCGCAAGTTACCTCGGGCAGAAGAAGGAAAAATTATGTGTTGACAAGTTATTTCGGGCGAGTTATAAATTGGGATCTTTAAACAAATATTTGGACATATTCATTATTTACTTTTTCTAGCCATACACGTAGTTTATACATTGATTATTGATAGTAGGCTATAATTATCTAGTTTAGCTACTATTTGCACTCTAACTTAGTTGCACTTTATTGATATTTGAATATTAAATGATAACAAATTGCTCTAGTTAAGAACTTTATGCTTTGCAGGAGAAATTCCGGGCTATGAGGACGTTAAAGAGTGTTTTGGAGCTAATATGGAGCATTGAAGGCCAATTGGAGGTTAGCGCGCTTAAAAAGAAGAAAGAAAAAATGCTGCAGAAAATCCTCCATGTGTGCGGTCTATGCGCGGCCATGCACTGGGCCGCGCATGTCAGGCAGAAACTGGCCAAATTGCGCGGACGCGCACGTGCTTCCGAGAAAAATCATCCCAGACCAATTTTGTAATTTGAGAGGCGACTAACCTTGACCTATATGAAGCCCAGCTCGCCCAAAAAGACGGTATCTCTGTTCTTAGAAGAACTTTGGAGGCAAGAACACCAAAGGAGCAAGACGGAGAATTCTCCTACGAGTTTTTCATTATCTTCTTCTTCTTAATTCCATTGTTAGTTATGACTTTTTATATTGTAATCTTGCATAGTAGTATGAGTAGCTAAACCCGTCATCTAGGGTTGATGGAACCAATTGTTGGATGAAGTCTTGATTACATTTTGATATAATTAAGCCATTTTTACTCTATAATTGTTCAACTATGTGTTTCTTGTGATTAATTGAAAGGGCCCTTGATTAATCGTGTCTAGTTGTCTAGTGTTGCTTGAGAAAGAACACTTGATTAGATTGTTGTTGAACAACGCCACTTTCGAGTAAGTTAAGAGATTAATTACTTGAATTTAAAAACGGGATTAGAGATAACGAAGCTTTGATGTGATATTTATGAGTTGTACAAATTGTCAACTAGAGTAGTTCGAGAGAATGCTTCTAGTAAATTATCGTAATTGATCGAGAGATAAGTATGGTAAGCAAGGACTCATCATCTTTATAGAGTATCACGGCGAGATTATAGTAAACGTGTCAAAAATTAATCCGACAATTGGAAAAATCAATAACCCTAGATTCTTTTACCCTTGAATTCAACTTCATTCTTGCTTATTGATAGTTTTTATTGTCATTTTTCCTTAGTTAAATAATTTCTGTTAATTATCAAATACAATCTTGAACTCTGAAAATTGTCTGAGCTTATCATTAGCGATACTAAAAGTTGTAGCAAATAGATTAGTTTCCTATGGGATTCGACTCTGGACTTGTAAACCGGATTATATTTGCAGCGACCGCTTAGTCCTTTTTATAAGGCATAGTTGGGCGTGATCAAATTTTGACATCGTTGCCGGAGAACCAACGGTGTTATTTATTACAACTTGGAAGAATTGTTAGGATTTTTAGTTTAGATCAATTTTCTGTGGTGTTAAAAATATTTTCATTGAAATTCTCACGTTTGAACTCTTCTGTGACTCAGGTGCATGGCTAGATGCTCCTTGAGAACTGGTGAATTTTTTTGAAGGACTCTCAGATCCCGAGAAAGCATTTAGGGCATTTAATTGGGCTAACAAGAAGGGCAAACAGCTAAAACAAGACGAACAATTCGAAATTGAAATGGACGACGTCGAGAACGTCAATGAGAACAATAGGAATGATCGAGTTGACCCAAACATTGGAGTGGTAGAACCTCTTGCGCCAGAAGCTTCTCTATATGAATAGGCGCAACCAACTGCTGATAACCTGTCCACCGCAATTGCAGTCCCTCTGATACAAGCGAAGACGTTTCAGATTACCAACAACATGTTGTACTTGCTGCAAAATAAAAGGTTGTTCTCCGAGTCGTACATCGAAGACCCACAACAACATCTGAAAAACTTTCTATCAATTTGTGTCACTCAAAGACAACCGAATGTGACTCCTGAAGCAATCAGATTATTACTGTTCCCATTCTCAGTGACTGGGGAGGCTTAAACTTGGCTAGATTCGCTCCTAATAAACTCTATTGCTACTTGGGAGGAACTAGTCAAGCAGTTCTTAAAAAAGTTCTATCCACCCAACAAAACGGCGGGGCAAATTGATGAGATATTGCAATTCAGGCAGAAACCGACTGAAACCTTGCAGGAAACCCGGGAGAAGTTTAAGAATATGCTGGTGAAGTGTCCACACCATGGCATCCCGGATCAGATGTTTGGACAGAGATTTTATATGGGTTTGGCTGACGGTCTGAAGGCCAATGTAGATGCTTCATCTAGGGGTGCATTCTTGAGCAAAACATTCATAGAGTGTAAGATTCTTCTTGACAAGATGGCTCAAAATTTAGGCTAGATGACGAGAGATACAACACTCACTCCAATAGTGCATTCTGTTGCTCTTGACTCAAACAATACAAATGTAGAAAACATAGCCACTCTCATGACCCAGATGAGCTTGTTGACAAAGAAAATTGATGAGATGGGTACGAAACAGGTGCACATTGTTGATACGACAAATGGAGGCCTATGCACTCCCTGCATAAATGAGTCATATGTTTGCTCGTTGAGTGGAGAGAATGATAACCAGGGCTTCAAAGAAGACATGAATTACGTCAATAATTTTGGGGGTCAGAGGCAAGGTGGACAATAATGGGGACCTCAAAATTAGTAGTACAGACCAACCCAGCAACAATACAATACCATTCCAGGGGGAGCACGACCACAAGGCTAAGTCGTGACTTTTCAAAGGCAGCAGGGCTACAATCAACAGCACCAACAACAGTTGGCTTACTAACTGCCTCATCAACAGCAGGACAGTAATATGATAGAAATCAAGGTCATGCTGCAACAACTCATTGGGAAAAATGGAAAAATTCAAGAAAAGTTTGCCGCACATGATTCGGCTATTAAAGGAATTGAAACTCAATTAGGCCAGTTATCTATGGCCTTGAACAATCGCCCACAAGGAACGTTGCCTGCAGACATAAACATCAATCCAAAGGAGCAGAACCCAAATCAGCTAATGGCAGTAAGTCTCAGGAATGGAAGGGATTTAGACAGAGAGCAAGAAGTTGTTCAATCTAGGAGAGACACGGTGCCAATTTCTCCAGTGACATTAGAGACTAACGAGTCAATGGAGCTCATAGAGGTTGTAATTGAACATGCACAAGTTGACAAAGGTAAGGAGAAGGAATTTGAACAACTCCCAGAACAGGTAGTGGAAAAGGCTCCTAATAGAGAAAAGACACCAAGCAGTGGGCAGAAGCTAACTCCTGCACCATTCCCTCAAAGGTTGGTAAAGCAAAGGAAAGATGATCAATACAGGAAATTCATGGAAATGCTCAGACAAATTCAATTGAATATTCCACTGATGGATGCTTTGAGGGAAATGCCAGGCTATGCAAAAATGATGAAGGATATGATGTCTCGAAAATTTCACTTCCAGGACCTATCTACAGTAACTCTAACTCAAACATGCAACGTTGTAGTAACAAGACCTATGGCTCAAAAATTGTCTGATCCCAGTAGTTTCATTATCCCATGCACAATTGGAAGTTATGCTTTTGCTAAAGCATTGTGTGACTTGGGAGCCAGTATCAACTTGATGCCTTTGGCAATCTACATAAAATTAGGCACTGGCAGAGCTAGATCGACCTCAATGTTGCTGCAACTGGCTGATCGCACAGTCAAAAGGCCGACAGAAATTCTGGATGATGTGCTCGTCCAAGTGGGGAAGTTTTTATTTCCTGCCGACTTTGTTATTCTTGACTGTCAAGTTGATGAAGAAATACCAATAATTTTAGGGAGGTCGTTCTTAGCCACTAGGAGAGCATTGATCGATTATGAGACAGGAGAGCTAAAAATGAGGCTGAATAATGAAAAAATAATATTCAATGTTCAACAATCTATGAGGAGGCCCAGCAAAGTTGCAAATTATTTGCTAGTGGAGGCAGTGGATGTAATACTACAAGAGGAGGATGAGACCCTTAATGTCAGAGATCCATTAGAAGCTTGCTTGATGAATTTGGAAGATGTGGATGGTGAAGAGTTGGACGAGTGGGTCATGGCTCTCGAAGGTCAAGGGTTCTGGAAAAGGGAACCCCAATTCGAGCCACTACACTTAGAAAAAAGACCAACACCACCTGCAAAGCCATCAATAGAGGAGCCACCACAGTTGGACCTGAAACCGCTTCCAGCTCACCTCAGGTACGCTTTCTTAAGGCCTAACTCTAATTTACCTATTATTTTCTCATCCGGTTTGTAAGTTGTGCAGGTAGAACAACTCCTACAGGTGTTACAGGAATGTAAGACTGCTATTGGTTGGACCATGGCAGATATAAAGGGTATCAGCTCAGCCTTTTATATGCACAAGATTCTCTTGGAAGAGGGGCACAAACCTTCCAGAGAACATCAAAGAAGGTTGAACTCGAACATGAAAGAAGTGGTGAAGAAAGAAGTGATCAAGTGGTTAGATGCGGGTATCATCTTCCCCATCTCTGACAGTAACTGGGTCAGCCCAGTTCAGTGTGTGTTGAAGAAGGGTGGAATGATGGCCGTGAAAAATGAGAATAACGAGTTGATCTCGACTCGTACAGTCACGGGTTAGCAAATTTGCATGGATTATAGAAAACTGAACACAACCACCCGGAAAGACCATTTCCCCTTGCCACTCATTGACCAAATATTGGATAGGTTGGCTGGGCAGTCTCACTTCTATTTTTTGGATGGATATTCGGGGTGCAATCAGATCTCAATAGCCCCTGAAGATAGAGAGAAAACATCATTTACTTGTCTGCATGGATCTTTGCCTTTCGGAGAATGTCGTTTGGCCTATGCAATGCACCGGCTACATTTCAGAGGTGTATGTTAGCCATTTTCACTGATATGATTGAAGATATTATGGAAGTCTTTATGGATAATTTCTCAGTGGTGGGGGATTCATTCGAAGACTGTCTTCACAATTTAAGGAGAGTGCTAAAAAGGTGTGGGGAGACAAATTTATTGCTGAACTGGGAGAAGTGCCATTTTATGGTACAAGAAGGTATAGTATTGGGGCATCGAGTGTCCAGTAAAGGTATTGAGGTCGAACATGTTAAGGTTAACGTAATTGAGAAGTTATCACCGCCCACTTCGGTCAAGGCAGTGAGAAGTTTCCTTAGGCACGCCGGGTTCTACAGGCGATTTATAAAAGATTTCTCTAAAATTGCTAACCCCTTATGTAAACTCCTTGAAAAGGATCATCCCTTTGTGTTCTCTGATGATTGCAGGTTGGCATTTGAGGAGCTGAAGAAGAGACTGGTGACTACACCAATCATCGTTGCACCCAACTGGTAGAAGCCATTTCTAGCTCATGTGTGACGCGTGTGACTATGCTATAGGAGCAGTCCTGGGGCAGCGAAAGGACAAGCTGGTGCACCCAATTTACTATGCAAGCAGAATGCTAAGCGATGCACAGCTAATTATACCGTGACTGAGAAAGAGATGTTGGATGTGTTGTTTGCATTCGACAAATTCAAGTCTTATTTGATTGGTTCAAAAGTGATTGCTTATACTGACCATGCAACACTTAGGTACTTGATAGCAAAGAAGGAGTCAAAGTCATGCTTGATCCGTTGGGTTCTGTTGCTAGAAGAATTCGATTTGGAGATCTGCGATAGGAAAAAGACAGATAACCAAGTGGCAGACCACCTTTCAAGGTTGGAAGGAGCTGAAAAGAAAGTAGAGGTTGAAGATATAACTGAGACATTCCCGGATGAACAATTACTCGCAGTGGAAATGGAGGAGACGTCATGGTATGCTGATATTGCTAATTATTTGGCAAGCGGTATTGTACCTTATGAACTCTCTTCGATTCAAAAGAAAAAGTACTTTCACGATTGTCGGTCTTATTACTGGGATGAACCTTTACTTTTAAAATATGTGTAGATAACATGATCCGGAGGTGTATCCTCGAGAAAGATCAACCTTCTGTTTTGCAGGCTTGCCATTCTTCACCATATGGTGGGCACTTTGGAGGAATTCAGACATCGACGAAGATGTTGGAGTCGGGTTTCTATTGGCCGACTTTATTCAAGGATGCCCATGCTTGGGTGAAAAGTTTTGATGAGTGCCAAAAGACAGTCAATATATCTCGTCGTCACGAGATGCCGATGACTACAATTAAAGAGGTGGAAGTATTTGACATGTGGGGAATTGATTTTATGGGACCATTTGTTAGCTCATATGGTAACAAGTACATATTGGTAGCAGTTGACTATATCTCCAAATCGGTTGAAGTTGTGGCCCTTCTAACAAATGATGCCAAATGAGTGACAGGCATTCTAAAGAAAAATATTTTCACACGTTTTGGCACTCCGAGAGCTATAATCAGTGATGGTGGAACCTATTTTTACAATAGAGCGTTCGCAAGGCTGTTAGAAAAGTAAGGGGTTCGCCATAAGGTTGCCACACCTTATCACCCACAAACGAGCAGGCAAGTGGAAGTGTCCAATAGGGAAATCAAAAGTATCCTGAACAAAACAGTGAATGTGAAAAGGACTGATTCGACAAAGAAGTTGGATGATGCATTATGGGCATACCGCACAGCATTTAAAACTCCAATTGGTATGTCTCCATACAAGTTGGTGTTTGAAAAAGCATGCCATCTTCCGGTGGAGCTTGAGGATAAAGCCTTATGGGCACTGCGGCAGTTGAAATTGGATATGGAAACTGCAGGCACAATTAGAGTCATAGAGCTACATGAACTCGAGGAATTCCGGTTCCATGCATTCGAGAATACAAGATTGTACAAAGAAAGGATGAAGATGATGCATGATAAGCACATTCTAGATCGGAACTTCAAACCCGGAGATCTAGTATTGTTATACTACTCGAGATTAAGATTGTTTCTAGGGTAAGTTGAAATCTAAATGGTCAGGACCATTTAGAGTTGTGTAAGTGTTCTCAAGTGGAGCAGTAAAAATTGAGTCCGGAGATGTAACGAATAGGTTTAAAGTGAATGGGAAAAGGTTGAAACACTACCTTGGAATGGTTGAAGAAAAAGGGGAGAAAGTTGTGATGTCTTTGGAAGAACCCCAATATGTGAGCGAAGTGCAATCATGAAAGCCTGCGTCGTTCTACGACGTTAAATCAAGCGCTTACTGGGAGGCAACCCATGGTTTTGTTGTAATTCGTCGTGCCGCGACATTAAATCAGACGCTTCTTGGGAGGCAATCGAATATTTTTTCTTTGTTCTTATTTTTCGTATTTGATTTTGAACGGTGAAAGTATTAACAGGTCTATTGGTGTGAAGGGATGAAATTGTGCGCGACGGAAGGACTCGAGGTGAAGAAATCCATCCGGAGATATTTAAAAAGTGGCTAAAAGGGAGAAATTTCGAAGAACAAACGTGCGCGGCCGCGCATTGACCGCGCACTTTTGGACCCCTATTGTTGCACATGCGCGACCGCGCACTGAATGCACATGGACCGTGCATTTTTCAACCTCCACTGCCCAACGTGCACGGCCGCGCACTGACCGCGTATGGACCGCTCACTGGGCATCGTTTTTATGTTATTTCATTAGTTAATTTTATTTTTTTTTATTTTTTTCCTTTTCTTTTCTTTTCGTTAGTTTTTATTTTTTCTTTTATCCCTTACTAATAACCAATCCCCCCCCCACCCTTATTCCTCCCCTAAAATCTGAATAAAAACAAAACAAACCCTTCTCTCTCACAACAAACACACGCCCAAAACTCTCCTTTCTTCCCGATTTCAAAAGCAAAAAACCTACCTCCCTTTCCTCCTCTTCCCTACTCAATCACTCCCCAATCTCTATTCCTCACAAGCTTCTTCAGGTAAGTGCCATGGCTTCTATTTTCCTTTTCCTTTAGTTTTTATTTTTTTTATTTTTTCCAATTTTTTTCTTTTTTTCTTCTCTTTTAATTGTATAGTATTAGAAGTCATTGTTATTCTTTTCTTTGCTTTGTATTACTAAGTATACTTGCCGGTATATGAGGATAATAGAATTTTATCTTGTTGGGTTGGATTAGACATTATTAAGATTGTGGTGGAATTGAGGTATAATTGGGTGTTTGGGAAATTTGGGGTGAATTTGCACATCAAGTATTTGTTTAAATACCACAGTGAGTTCGTGAATGTAATTTGTGACCAATTATACGGGTGAAGTCTGAGTAACCGTTATTGGTTCACATATCCCGCCTTGTACTGATAGTGGTATTTGTTTTGTAGGTACTATGACTCCCTCAAATAAAAGACGAACCACATGCGCCTCTTCTAGTGGTCATGTAGGCTCGTCCCGAGCACGGGCCTCAACCAATATGCCTCAGTTTGATAGCACAAGATTTATATCAAGCTCAGCTCAGGAATATTTTAGTCAGAAGGCTCCTAAGAAGCCCATACCGGAACGGGGTATTGATAGGGGGTCCCTCCAAATTGATTGCCCCAATATGTATCAGGAGTTGGTTCGACGCAGGCTGGATATTTTCTTTGAAGAACCTGAAGAGGCCAACTTGATGGTTATACGAGAGTTCTACGCGAACTGCTCTGAACATGAGGACCATATTTGCACTGTGAGACAAAAGAGTGTTGATGCATCGATAGACGCCATTAGGAGGGCGTATCAGCTGCTAGTATTTGGTGGGGAGGAGGACTATTATGATACATATAGGCGAGAACCAACCTCCTGGAACCTGTTTTTCAGAACAATCTGTGTGCCAAACAAAGACAAAGTGTGGGTTACGTCGGGGAGGAAGTTTCACTCGGCCTCACTCAACTTTGAAGGGACGTGTTGGCTTTATATCATCAATAGTCGCATGTTGCCTTCCTCCAACACCACTGAGATGAACGGTCCCAGAGCTGCATTGATCTGGTGCTTTATGAATGGACACGATTTTTATGTGACTAAGGTTATTCACGACGAGATGTTCATCTGTTGTCCAGTGCAGAGGTATGGGTTCTTCTTCCCTTCACTAGTCACTAGATTATGTCGGGCAGCACGGGTGCCGGAGAACAAGAACATGGATAGAAGAGTGAAAAAAGAATCAAAGTTCCGGACAGATAAAGTGACTATTGGGAAGGATCATGTGGTACCTGGCAAAGCTAATAGTGATGAGTCTGATGTGCCAGATAAGGGAGATTAAGGGCAGACTGAGGTTGTGGCTGAGTCAACCCTCACGAGCAAGTTACTGAGGATGAGGGAACATCTGTGTTCAGATGGGATACGCGAATGATAGCCCTAGAACATAAAATGGCAGGGTTACACACTTCTGTCACGAATTTGGGGACTCGAGTTGATGCACTGGCCACCCAAAATGCAAAATCTGAGAAGAAGATCATGGCTTGGCTGTGTGCGCTGGGGAGGGTGTGCCATCTCGACCCCGGCACTGTCTCCGATCAGGATTGATGTACCAGGGAAGTTTTCTTTACCTCGCATTTTTTTATTTGTGTGGCATGGGGACATGCCACCATTTTAAGTGTGGGGTGGGAGATATTTTGTATGTATGTTGTATGTATAGAGTTATGTAAAGTAGTGTAGTTTCGTTAGTTAACTGAATAAAAAAAATCTTTAAAAGTTTCGATTTGTCCCGACGATGGATATCATTCGACGGGTTTCTTGAGGGATTCAAGTCGAAGAAAAAAAAATACAAAAAGATTTTCTTTTGTTAGGAGTGTATCAACTCCTCCTTGGTTTTTCTTTGGGCCACAATTCTTTTCCTAGGGTTTCGTTTGAACTGGGTGTAGTTAGTTTTTTAAATATTTCTTTTTAAGTTAGGAACCCTTGGGCTATGGGCTGAATTGGAAATAGGATCTCTTAACTTCGTTATGCCTTGAATATAGCGGCTACTTTAGTGTGACGCTTAGGCTCAATTGTTGATTCTTATAAGAGGGCCTTAAATTGTATGTTCTTAACTTGGCTTAAGTATCCTGACTAGAGTGTTTTGATGATCCAATCTGGAGTGACTCTTGTGCCATGTGTGTGTGAGGCTTGTTGTATTTTGTGTACTGCATTTGATGCCTAGAACTTGTCCCGTGTGTTTGCAAAGCGAAATAGTAGTCTTATTTAGTCTTGGAAGTGATATAGGCATTTCTTTGTTGAGCCATATATATATTCCACCCGCCTAATTGTTATGTATCGTAGTTAACCCCTTTGATCTTGTAATCATGTTTCTTTGGCAACTATATTACAAGCCCTACCCCTTTGTTTGAATTAACTATTTATTTGAACCTATTCACATCTCATGAGCACTTGAATTGCTATGAACTTGTAAAGGTTAAAGTGTGGGGTGGTTGGTGGGGTTTTTGAGTGGAACTAATGAAATAAGGAGAAAGGTGCACTGTGTTGAAAAAAAATCAAAACAAAATAGTTGTATTATGGTGAATAATATTCCTTTGGTGGCTTTTGATGTAATTGTGCTTAAAGAAGTATGGGGTAATATATATTGATGCGAAGGAGGAGTGTTAGTTTGATATAAGTATGGACTTGAATGTTAAAGTATATGTATTAAAGTGCATAGGGAGGTGTAGTCACTCTTATATCCAAATATATCCTACCCGATCCGCAGCCTACATTACAACCAAATAAAGTCCTACTTGATCCTACAATGAATGAGCTCGATTAGTATAGTAGTACACTACGGGCAAGCCTATGGAGCATCTTTTGTGGTACAAGAATATCATTTCTGAGGGTGAGTGAATTCTGTCTATTTTGAAGTCCCTCATTGTGCATGAATTTTATTGATTGTAGAATGAGTCTCTATTGTTGTGAGCAGGCACTTGATTCATAAAGAAAAGGTAATTCTTGACCTCTGCGTTAGAGTAAGTGAGTAAGTTAGGAATATTACGTAGTGTGTGGGAGTCAACTCTTGAGGTGAAGATATTACAATACTATGCTCAATCTATGTGAAATATTCTTGGTATGATGAGTTAGGGAAGTCGCTTAGTGAAGTTAGGCCTCTGTAGAGTGTGGTTTGATTGCTTGGGGACGAGCAATGATTTAAGTGTGGGGTATTGATAGTAGGCTATAATTATGTAGTTTAGCTACTATTTGCACTCTAACTTACCTGCACTTTATTGATATTTGAATGTTAAATGATAACAAATTGCTCTAATTAAGAACTTTATGCTTTGCAGGAGCAATTTCGGGCTATGAGGACGTTAAAGAGTATTTTGAAGCTAATATGGAGCATTGAAGGCCAATTGGAGGTTAGCGCGCTTAAAAAGAAGAAAGAAAAAATGATGCAGAAAATCCTCTAGGTGCACGGTCTATGCATGGCCGCGCACTGGGCCGCGCATATCAGGCAGAAACTGGC